TGATGTGTGTGTGCCGGTGCTGGTAGTGTGCTATGTGGGTGAGGGTGTTTGTGTGTGCGTGCTTGTGAGGATGCTGTTAATGTACTGTGTGTGAGGGTGCGGTTTGTGTGTGTTTGTGTGCGCTTGTGAGGGTACTGTTAATGTACTGTGTGTGAGGGTGCTGTTTGTGTGTGAGGGTACTGGTAGTGTGCTGTGTGTGTGTTAGGGTCCTGTTTGTGTGTGTGAGGGTACTGTTAGTGTGCTGTGTGTGTGTGAGGGTGCTGTTTGTGTGTTTGTGAGGGTGCTGTATGTGTGTGTGGGTGCTGTATATGTGTTGGTGCTGTATGTGTGTGGGTGCTGTATGTGTGTGTGTGCTGTGTATGTCTGTGGGTGCTGTGTCTGTGGGTGCTGTATGTGTGTGGGTAATGTGTATGTGTGTGGGTACTGTATGCCTGTGGGTGCTGTATGTGTGTGGGTGCTGTGCATGTCTGTGGGTGCTGTATGTGTGTGGATGCTGTATGTCTGTGGGTGCTGTGTGTATGTCTGTGGAGTTGCTGTGTATGTCTGTGTTGCTGTATGTCCGTGGGTGCTGTATGTCTGTGGGTGCTGAATGTGTGTGGGTGCTGTATGTGTGTGGGTGCTGTGTGTGTGTGGGTGCTGTATGTCTGTGGGTGCTGTATGCCTGTGGGTGCTGTATGTCTGTAGGTGCTGTGTATGTCTATGGGTGCTGTATGTGTGTTGGTGCTGTGTATATCTGTGGGTGCTGTGTATGTCTGTGGGTGCTGTGTATGTCTGTGGGTGCTGTATGTGTGTGGGTGCTGTATGTCTGTGGGTGCTGTGTATGTCTGTGGGTGCTGTGTATGTCTGTGTGCTGTATGTGTGTGTGGGTGTTGTATGTATGTGTGCTGTATGTGTGTGCTGTATGTGTGTGTGGGTGATTATGGGGGTGGAGGTGGGGGTACATTAATTGCTATCCCCCCTCCCTTCTTACCTTTTGTAGGGAGGGGGGATCGTGCTGCTGATTCCTTCCCTGGTGGTCCAGTGGAGAGTGAACTCTAGCCCCTGTGGGGCTAGAGATCACTCTCGCGAGATTTGAGCGTTGCCGTGGCAACGCTCATATCTCGCAAGAGGAACCTGGCGGAGCTGCCGGCAATAGCTCCGCCGGGTCCTCTCCTGCCTCTCTCCCTGCATGTGGGTCAGTGGGGAGGGAGGCTGAGAGCAGAGCCGGCGCTCGGATAGCGCCGGCTCTGCATGAGCCGACAGGGGAGATCCTGAGATCTCCCCTGCCGGTCTCAATACACATAGGCGTGCCGCGGGGATTAGGGTGTGCCCAGGCACACCCGGCACACCCCGTGCGCACGCCTATGTCTGATCGGTTGCACCAGAGCTTTTTATGGGCTTCGTAACAAAGGGGGTGAATACATACGCACATGACAGTTTTCTGGTTTTCGATTTCTAAAAAAATGTTTTATGTATATATTTTTCTCATTTCATTTCACCAACTTAGACTATTGTGTTCTGATCCATCACATGAAATTCAGATTACTAAAACATTGAACTTAAGGCTGTAATGTAACAAAATAGGTAAAATGTCAAAGGGGGGGGGGGGGTGAATACTTTCATTAGTCCCTGGCCTTATCTTATAGTTAGGATAGCTTTTTGCCTATCCCACGCATGCTTAAACTCCTTTACTGTGTTAACCTCTACCACTTCAGCTGGAAGGCTATTCCATGCATCCACTACCCTCTCAGTAAAGTAATACTTCCTGATATTATTTTTAAACCTTTGTCCCTCTAATTTAAGACTATGTCCTCTTGTTGTGGT